CAAAAAAAAAAAAAAAAATTAATCAAGAGTGGTGGTGCATGCCTGTAGTCCCAGCTACTCAGGAGGCTGGGGCAGGAGGATCCTTGAGCCCAGGAGTTCCAGGCTGCAGTGAGCTATAATCAGTTCTGGCCACTCCAGGCTGGGCAACAGAGTAAGATCCCAACTCTTAAAAAAAAATCCCAACCCTTGAGTCATCCTTGTCTACCTGTACCAGGCAGGTAAAAGCTGCTGGGGACAACATGATGGCCTGGAAACTCCTCACCCCCAGACCACTCACTGCTGCCTCTGGGACAAGCCAAGTCACGCCTAAACCCCTGGGCAGCTTGCTCTGCCCGGAGACCGTCCCCAGCATGGCTCACTCTCCTCCGCATGCCCAGCCTCCCCCGAGCCCAGCTTGCAGGCTCCTCAGCAGAACAAACAGGCTGTCAGAGGAGGCTGCAACTGAGCCCTCTCCACACTACTGGAGACCAGCAGAACTCTAGTAGCCGCCATCACCAGCTCCCACCCCCGGCCTGGGCGCTGCCCACTGCCCTCCTCCACTTGGCTTTCCGCCTCTTGTGTAACTCCCTCTAGAGTTCTCGAGCCCCCTCCACCTATGAAAATCCCCCTCCCTGGCCCACCAATCTCCATCCCGACCTCTGTCGACCCAGTCCCCAGACACCCTTCCCCAAGAGGCGGTTCCCCATGGCCAATGCTCTCACCTCTCCTCGCACTTGGCTGCCGCAAGTTGGCCCCAGGACTCTTGCTCCACCCAAGCTGCACTTCACTAGAGCCCCACAACCCGCATGGGGCAGCACTACCAAGGGCCTCTCTGGACAGCCTGTCCACGGCACTAGACCCAAGTGACCAGCCGCTCCCTCCCCCAGGCAGCACCTCCTCCTGGTTCCAGCAAGTTCTCCTGGTTTTCCTCCCGTTTTTTCCAGCTGCCCCTGCACCCGCTGTCTTCCTGGCTCTTGCTCCTTGGCCTGACCTTTAGATGTTGGCGCTTGTTAATTGCAAAGGGAAAAACAGTCGCTTTACAGGCGAGAGGCCTGGCAGGCCCCACCCCAACCCAGGAGTGCAAGTTAGCATCCCTGCAACTGCACAGTAGAGGCCACGCACCCCCATAGGATGTGGAGGAGGACGCGGCATCACTTCCGGGGCGTCCCCACCAAGATGCGAATCACAAGGAAACCAAGCTCAAACCAAGATTCGCTCTGCAAAATAACCGGCCTGCACGTGCCAAAAACGGCATGAAAGATAAACACTAAAGAACAGGACGGGGGTAATAGGAGCTCAAAAAGATAGGGAAATTAATTGCAGTGTGGAAGCCAGGCATTTTTTTTTTTTCTATAAAGGATACTGTTGGGAAATTGGCAGACTAGGGGGGAAAAGTCTGTGGCTTAGTTCAAAGAATTGTACCAATGCTAATTTCCTGATTTTGAAATTTGCACTCCAGTTATGAAAGAGGAGGTGCTTGTTCTTAGAAAATACACACTGAAGTACTCAGGGATAAAGAAGCATTATGTCTACAATTGCTCTCAGGGGTCAGAAAAAAAGTATGTTTAGAGGAAGAGAGAAACCAGGCAGGGCCCAATGACTCGCCTGTAATCGCAGCACTTTGGGAGGCCGAGGCAGGAGGGTTGCCTGAGCCCAGGAGTTTAAGACCAGCCTGGGCAACATAGTGAGACCTCATCTTTACAAAATGTAAAAAAAAATTAGGCATGGTGGAGCACACCTGTAGTCCCAGCTACTCAGGAGACTGAGATGGAAGGATTGCCTGAACCCAGGAGGTCGAGGCTGCAGTGAGCCATGACTGTGCTACTGCACTCCAGCCTGGGTGACAGAGTGAGATCCCCGACTCAAAAGAGAGAGAAAGAGAGACATGAATTTAAAATATGGTGCAATATTAACATTCAGGAACTCTAGGTGAAAAGTATGTGGGAAATATTTGTAATCATCTTGCCACTTTAATGTAAGTCTGAAATTGTCAAAATTAACAGCGAGACCCCCCTATCTTTACAAAAAATAATTTAAAAAATAAACATGGCCAGGTTTGGTGGCTCAGTCTGTAATCTCAGCACTTTGGGAGGCTGAAGCAAGTGGACTGCCTGAGCCGGGAGGTTCAAGACCAGCTCAGGCAACTTGGCGAGACCTCGTCTCTCCAATAAATCAAAAGTTAGCTGGGCGTGGTAGCGTGCACCTATAGTTACAGCTACCTGGAAGGCTGAGGAAGAAGGATCGCTGGAGCCCAGCAGGTCGACTCTGGGGTAGCAGTGAGTGTGCCACTGCCCTCCAGCCTGAGTGACAGAGACTCCAACTCAAAATAAATATAAACATCAGCTGGGCATGGTGGTACGCACCTGTAGTCCTAGCTAATCAGGGTTGTGGGAGGATCACTTGAGCCCCATAGTTCAAGTTTATGGTGAGCTGTG